TGTTGCTCTTGGTGTAGTAAGTTAGGTGAGATATCACAATGTGGTTCAGAATCAAAGACAGAATGAGCTGGATCCATGTTAGATGATGGTTTTCCTTTTTTTCGTGGGGTGATTAGGCAAAAGTGTGCCGGCCACGCCGGGTGGGACTAGATGATTACGGAGGAATTACCATCTCGTGACATGATCCGAAATAATTGTACCAAATAGAAATCAATTCCGTTGTTCTAGCAATCTTAGATCTCTTATTCGTGATTGTGTTAAGCATTCGAATGAGGAAGACAGTACAATTTTGAATACATCGATTATTTCCATGATATACACATACTGCCTGATATCTTGAAAATAGAATGTTTTATCATCATAAATATACATGTATTTGTATATATACATTTTATATGTATATGGATGCATTGAAGCCACTGGTTAACAAGACTATTTAAGGAGGAAAAAAACCTCGAAATCATTTCAACACATGCTTGCACTCCCCTCTTGGGAATGGTAAATCGAATTTGTCGACAAGCACTTTGGCATCTATTAAGTAATCATTTTAAGACAAAATTATAATTTTGGATAATTGCTAAGTCAATCGTCGGTGTCCAGGAAAAAAATCTTTGCACATTCATCCTCGGATAAGCGACATGTATGTTCGGAGCTAGTTTCATAATCCGATTCTTTCCCATGTCAATGATCCAATGACGAATGTGTAGAGGCGGTGAAAATCGGCAACTTTTTTTTAAGGGTTAATACTGCGAAAAATCCCAAATCGGCACATCGGTGACAAATTTATCCCAAACTAATTTTTTGACCACCAAAAACTCTAAAATGATACATTTGTGACAAATTTGCCCTCCATTAGTTTCTGTTAAATTAGATTAATACCACGAAAAGCCGCAGATTGGTACACATGTGATAAACAAAGGGTAAGACTCCAAACTGGTATATCCGTCAACTGACATTTGTCATTCAACTCAGTAATTTGACGATAAAATTTAACAAAAACTAACATAGAATAAATTTGTCACAGCTGTACCGGTTTGGGGTTTTTGGTCGTCAAAAAATTAATTTGGAGTAAATTTGTCACTTATATACTAGTTTCGAACTTTTCGTGATATTAACTATTTTTTATTTTGTTAACTTTTCTGGTGAAGAGTGTACCTTTTATTTTTGTTTTTTTGTTTGGGTTTTGGAAATGGAAAATATTCTAGAATAGTATAGTTAACGATGGTGTCGTTGGTCATGTCTTAAAAAGGGCAACGGGACCTCCCAATGATAGTAAGTAGTATCAAAATTCCTGAAAACGAAATAACAAAACACAAAAAAACGCCGATGGATTTCAACGATTAGTCGGCGCGAAACCGCGAGAGACTCCCCCAATAATCGGCAAACAATCGCCGATGCACAGCAAAACACAAAACAACACAATCCTCTTCTCCAGATTTAACCACCATTGATAGTAGATAGTCCAAAAAGGCAAAAATCCATTTTGATTTTCAGAAATGAGCGTATTGCGTATTACCTGTTGTATACGATCTCTCGCTCGTAGATCGCACCTTATTGAAATTGTGTTTGAAATTTGTAGAATTGCTTTCGTATTTTCTAGAATTAGTATAATTGTTAGGCCCACCGTTGGTCTAACAAAATTTGTACACATTGATTATACGATGACTAACATGTTTATTAGACGATATTTAGCGAGCCGAAATTTTTAACATGAAAATTATTGAACCGTGAATGTGTAAATCCATTCACACATTGGTATTGGACCTAATAAAATACTTTAAAAATAGGAACCCAAAACTACTCTTCGTACTTAAGGTGTTCTTTTTATCGTCTTTTCTTCTTCTTTTTTTAGGGGTGAACACCGGTTGCAGTCCAACATGAGCTGAAACGGAACGGACCGGACCAACCGGTTCTGGGCAGTTCCCATAAGAACCGGTCTAGTTCCGATTCCCAAAATTTAGAATTGGCAGGAACCGGCTGTCCCAAAATAGAATTTTGGCGCTCGAACTCCAATCTTCAATCTTCAATTCATCTCCCTTAATTGCAGTAAGATACTAGATTTACTCTACTTGGGATTTATTGTGGTTCAATCTCTAGTTGAGTATCAAAATTTTGAATGACTGTTCTACCTCTTCCTTAATTGTTGATTTTTTGTTTACTTTTGGCTGAGTCTACCAATTCCATAATGGTGGAAATCATGTTCATCTGATTGCGAATTTGCTTGTTGTGACTCACTACATAAAAGTAGGAAAAAAAAAAGTCAATCCTAATCCAACACAGAATCGGACTGGGATCGACCGGTCCGGTCCAATTCAGTTCTTGAGAGGACCAATTGGATTCCTAATTCCAAGGTGGGATCCCACCCACCCCGGAAGTGATCGCACCTAATCATTTTATGGATCGCATCGACATTTTTTTTTTTAAATGACACATATTGACTTTACCTTAATTTATGTTAGCATCAACACTAATGAATGAGAAAAATAATAGCGGCTACCCATAAGGTACTTGTTAGAATTGATGTGCTTTTCAAAACTTAAAAATATAAAAAGGGGTGCTTCCCACATAGGCTCCGTTTATTTCGCAGAAAATTGATGATTTGGACAACATTTTCCTAAAACTGATCGCTTATATTGTTCGAAATAATTAGTCGATAAGAAAATATTTTCATTACGAATAACAATTTATGTCTAAATATTTTCGTGAACGATAAAAATAGTTTTTGTTAATTCATATTTGTAAGCGATACAAGTAATCATTTAAAAAAAATTCTTTTCAAATCGTTCATTTTTCGCGAAACAAATAAAATCTTAATTTTCTTTAAAATGGGTGCAATAGTCTATTTTAATGTGCTGCAGAGAAATTTCAATCGATGACAATAATGCCGAGAAATTGTCCAGCTTAGTTGACACGTGATCGCACCCGAAATTGCGCTAAATCAACACGGGTCAATTCGACGACTTTTCCCCACCCGCTCTCCGTAACAGTTTCCCAGAATTTTTCTGAGTTCGCGTGCCACACATGCGCAGAAACGAGAATAATGCCGTACGGTAGGAGGCGAGCATCACGCATCTTGGTCGTCCTGTCCCAAATTAGACCGCGGGGGTCGGTCCACAGTGACAGCTTAGCCTACCTACGCCCATTTTCAACAAAACGATGCGGAGATTTTCCATATCATCATTGATCGATCCATACACGTTCTAATTGCATACAATAAGTACGGGAAATTGTTCTTTCCCGTGGCCCCCTTTGTTCCTGTAGTTTGCGCTTCTGGGTCAGAGAAGATTCGGTTGAAATAAAGAAATGCGTGTGCTTATTTGCTCTTGGTGCAGTAAGTTAGGTGAGACATCAGAAACATGGTTTAAAATTAAGACGGAATGAGCTGGATTCATGTTGAATAATGATGACTTTCGTTTTTCATGCCGGGTGGGGACAAGATGATTGTGGAGGAATGACCGTCTCATGACACGATCCGAAGCAATTGTACCCGATAGAAATTAATTTCGATGTTCTAGCAATGTTCGATCTCTTGTTTGCGATCGTGTTAGGCATTCAGATGAGGAAGATGGTACAATTTTGAATGCACAAATTATCTCCATGATATATGCATACTGCTTGATATTTTTGAAAACAGAATGTTTTATCTATTATACTTGATCGTGGTTGCTACATGCCTAATTGGACGTCACAAATATAGGACCCATAATATATTTAATTAAATTAGGTCCGTGTCAAATGTTAAACAATAAAGACCTGATAGGCCACATAACTGGGTTGGACCTTGTCGAGTCTAGCATTATCATTATAAATACACATGTATATGTATGTTAGGTGCGTCTGAGCCACTCGTTAACGGTACTACATGAGGACAAAAAAAAAAGTTGAAATAATTTCAACACTTGCATGCGCTCCCCTCTTTGGAATGACAAATAGAATTTGTCGAGAAGCACTCTAGCATCTATTAAGTAATCAAATCGAGACAATTATTATAACCATGGATAATCGCTATATCAACCCTCAAGTGTCGCCAGTAGGTATGCGACCATGCTGGTAAAGGGATCGGGGGGTGGGGACGCCAGCATCACAGGTGCGGGGTTCGATTCTTGTCCTCTGCAAGGGGTAGAGTAAAAATCAGAGAGAGGGAAAAAAAAAAAACCTTGATGTATTTTTGTGTTTTTATTTGGGTATTGGAAATGGATAATGACACAAACAGTTTCTGAACTTTGGCTCAATATGCAATTTGGTCCCCGAACCTTTAATTTGTTCAATGTAATCCCTAAACTTTAGCCGAATGTTCAATTTGCTCAATGGACTTTTAATTTGTTCAATGTGGTCCCTGGACTTTAGGTACATATTCAATTTAGTCCCTGGACTATATAAAAATGTTCAATATAGTCCTTTCATTAATTCAAGTTCAAGGACTATATTAAACATTTTCATATAGTTCAGGGACTAAATTGAACATGTACCAAAAGTCTAGAGACCACATTGAACAAATTAAAAATTTAGGGATTAAATTGCATATCGAGCTAAAGCTTAGAGACCGTTTGTGCCATTTTTCCTAAATTTAGTCCAGAAGAGTATGGTTAACGAGGGCGTCGTTGGTTGTGTCCTAATAGGGCAACGGGAACCATCCCAACGACAGCGAGTGATATCAAAATTCCCGAAAACGAAATAATAATTTAAAAAATACAAAAAGAAAACACGCCGATTTGACCTCAAAAAAAATAAAAGAAACGCCGATGAATTTCAACGATTTCTTTTTTTTTGGTCAAAAATTTCAACGATTAGTCGGCGCGAAACCGCGAGAGACACCCCCCCCCAAAACGGCAAACGATCGCCGACACAAAGCAAAAACACTATCGTCTTCTCCAGATTTCTCTCCCTCCTTTTAAAGACCCCACCCAGCGAAGCAATAGCGCAAAACCAACCCCCCTCCTCAAACCGATCTCGAATTTCAGGGGGACGACGACGCAGACGACGACGACGACGAAACCCTAACCCTAGCCCCCCCCCGCCTTGCACCTGCACCTCCAATCTATACCGTCTTCTTCCCACCATCCTTTCTCTCTCCCCCTCTCCCCCTCTCTCTCTCTCTCTCCGCCTACTCTGGATCAATCGGTGGAGGCACAACTCGTTGTGAATGGTGGAAATCTCGGGCGGCCGTAGCGATTTCATGCTCTCCCTTCTCCGATCAAGGGCGAGCGCTCTCGTTTTCGCCTTCGGTTCCTGCAAGGAGGGCTGGTACTACCGCTGCCTCGGCGTCGACCCTTGAGCACCGGCACCGCCGCCGCCCCCCCCGCCAATCCCTCCCCCGAGATCGCGCTTCCCGATCTTCGCCTCCCCTCTCCCTCCCCCTCCCTCTCTTTCTCGATCTGGGTCGCGCTCTTGTTTGATCTCTCTCTCGCCTTCTCTTTTTCCCTTCCTCGGGATTGGTTGAAAGAAATTCTTCGTTTTCGGGTTCTTTTGGAGGCTGCTGTTTTTTGGGATTCGGGGTTTCCGAGTTTTGGGGGTTTTTTCTCTCGTCGGGTCGCGCGATGTTGCTCTACAAGCAGAAGAAGAACCAGGGCGCCAAGGGGAATAGGCTCCTGATCAGCATCAACGTGCTGGGGAGCGCCGGGCCGATCCGGTTCGTGGTCGGCGAGGAGGAGCTCGTCGCCGCCGTCATCGACACCGCCCTCAAGTGCTACGCCCGCGAGGGGAGGCTCCCCGTGCTGGGATCCGATCTCAACGATTTCTTGCTCTACTGCCCCACTTCTGGATCGGATGGTATGTCAAACGGGGGGGAACAAATTTGGGGGGTTTTGCGAAAATATGATTTGAGTGTTGATGCGTGGGACTGAAAAGGATGTGAATTGTGTTCTCTGTTTCCTCCTCTTTGAATTTGACATCGTATGAGCCAGTGTTGTGATTTGCTTTGCAGATTAAATTCTGTAGAGCCTGAAAGTTGCAATTTGAATTCGTTACTATTGTGGTAATCCTGCAATTGGGTGTATGATTCTTACGATTTTTTTGTGATTGGTTTCAGCCCTGAGTCCGTGGGATATGATCGGGTCGCCCGGAGCTCGGAACTTCCTTCTGTGCAAGAAACCGAAGACGGACGTGATGGCCGATGACAGGAGCTCCCCTGCTGCCGCCATCTCGCGGAAGGGCAGCGGAAGCTGGAAGTCGTGGATCAATAAGTCCTTCAGTCTCAAAGTATCTTCCCACTGAGGGATTTATCTATCTTTATGAGGTGATTGGCCTGCTTCTAGTTGTGAGTGGCTTCTTTTACGTTTTTTTCGGTCAAATCGGACGCGTTGGTCTTGCCATTCTTGGAATTCGGTGGATCCTTGTTATGGTGGTTGATCAGAAGACTTTTCTGAATGAATAAAGCGCTTTAGTTGCTTTTGAATATATTTTGAGCTTCGCCCACACAAATGCTCTGCCTTTTTAGGTTTGAGTTGCTTCTTGATATTTCCCCATTCGTCCCGAGGTTCCCAAGGAACTCTTTCTGGTTGGAACCAGGAAGAAGCATTTATACTTAAAATTCCTCAGGATCTCTAACTTGTTGGTCCATATATATTATAGTTTTGTCCCTGAGGTTCCGAGTTTGAACCAGGAAAGAGGGAATGTATCGCTCATTATTCTTCAGGTTCACTGAATTCTTGATGATGGTGGTCCGTATATTGTAGTCCTGACTGAACAGCCTCAACTTGTGTAAGTGCGGTCTTCTTATCAATACGTGAATCAATGTGCGTATTAGATGGTTAGATACGGTGTCTGAGCTGAATTCCCTCCGCCATCTAAGGGATGAATCACACGACTCCATGTGGGGATCACTAGTGTGGTGGGGTGAGGTCTAGATTTGTTTTTGAGCTGGTGGTGATATTTTATGCCGAAAGTTATTTTGGATTGTAGCATTAAAGCTGAACAACTCCTGCCACTCGAACGCTGGCTTGGAGAGAGTAACGTTTGAGGAGTGAAAACAGGCTTTTCTTACCTCTCAGTTCTCTCTCTTTTATTTTGTTTTTCCTTTTTCTTGTTTGTTTTTTTGAATGTGAGGTGGGTCACGAGGATAAATTTTGATAGATATTTTGTTGACGAGTGTCATGGAGTCGTCACTTGTCAAGCAACTACTTTTTTTGAAACTTTATTGTTTCTATTGCACCGATTGTCTTTGTTTCATGCGCAATCAAGAGTTGTATATTGGATTCTTCTAATAAATGGAACTTAATAATAGTTTTGGGAACATTCGTTAACACGATTCTTGTGATAGTACCCTCTATTTCATTCGAGAAATGAGATTATATCCTTGGGATCATGGTCCAAGTTCTGGGGTGAAGTTGAGGTATGAATTTGTTAAGGCGTGTTAGATCAGCCCAAACTCATCTACAGGCAGCTTTGATATGATTGTGGAGGACACATAATTTGGTGACCTTTTACTCTTCTTATTTGGTAGGTGTTGTGGGCCTTCCGTATAAATCCTCTTTGTTGTTTTAAAGTTGAATTGTGAAACCAACAATGGAGCCCTTCTTGAGCCACAGCCATTGCCTTTTGCATTAGTGTTTTCTTGCAGAAGAGCGCGTATATGAAAAATAGGAAGAAATGAGGGTGTTTTTTTCGAGCCTTCTTGGAGATGGTAGTGAGAGAATAGAACGGGGGAGGCTGGGATTGAGCTCACGTTTCACCTACTCCCTTTCGTGAATTTTCTCCTTTTTTTTTTTATCCCTTTCCTTTTCTTTTTCTTTTACTTAATTTTCTTTTTGTTTTTTCTTTATATTATTAGCAAAGTACGTGATTCAAACATCCAAAAAAAAATATTTGTACATTTGAGGGCTATACTATTTATAAACTCGCTATTTACGCTACGGGGTGACATAAACTGTTAATTGTCTATCTTATGTTTAATGCCAGAATTTTTTCTTCCAAATTTGGTATTGTTAGGTCATGAGTTTAACGGCTCTGGAAACGTCCGTTTTAATTAGCGTGTCCCTCAACTCTAAATAGTCAATTCCAAAGTGTTTGATATAAGGGAGGACTGACTAGACGGTCCTAGCTGAGACCATATGCATTCGTACTCATTATCTCATGATGTGGGTTATGTGTTAGACATTAGAATTAGTCACACAAATTGTTTCATAACAGAAGTTATGTGGAATCTCCATATGATTAGCTATAATGACTCTATGCTACATATGAAGAACTATATGGGGTGAGCGTGTATTGTGCATTAAAATGTTGATAGCTAAATTTGGTGGCGTCTATAGGTTCGGATGAACTTACCATCACGGATAGCCCAAAATCCGTTCAATACGTGTAGAACATTCACCTAATAATTTTTTCTACGTGAAGAAATAATTTTGTGTGTAATTTTAAAACAAAATCGAATATTTAAACAAGGGAGCTTTTTTTTTAAATTACTCGATGCGCATAATGTTGATGGAGATTTGAATTTACAGATGCTTACGATTCACGATGTGTACCATCGTTTTGGGTTGATAAACTCGCCATGTAAAAAAAAATGACATTAAATGATGATGATGATGAGACGCAGCATAAATTAATTGAAAGAACGAGACTGCAGTAACGTAACCTGGGAGGGAGGAGATATAAAAATCTTTGTGAAGAATATCATAAACATTGGACAATGAAATGCATCGAGTCCAAAAGGCACCCCTGCGAGTTCCTAGGTCAATAATTGACATAAAGGTACCCATTTTTCTCCTTATGACAAGAAATCCACCTCAACAAGGTGAACCCGAATCCATGAAATACCCCAGTGATATTGTGGACTTAATAAAATATCAAGTAATTTTTGTTTTAGATATAAGGAAAAAACCCATCAAAAACTCTAAAAAATGCCAACTGTTACACGTTTATCTCAAACATTTTTTGAGATAAAAAGCTCCGTATTTATACCCGTATTATACATTTACCGACTCTTAAGGTTCTGTCAATGAATAAGGAGGAAGGAAAAAAAGAAAAAGGGAAAACGAAAAAAAAAGGAACACATAAAAGAAGAGGAATCATTTATTTATGTTAAGACGAGTTGGTATATTTTTGGCATGTGGGAGCCACTTCAATTACTTTTGGAAGGAGTATTATGTGGGTAAAAATTTAAAATTCTTGGTGTCACAAAAAATTTAGGATAAATATGTTATCATATATATAGTTGGAGATTTTTTGTGACTTTTTCTTTAGGGGAAAAAAAAAAGCAGAGTACTTGCGCCTAAAAGTTTGATAAAAATTACTATTCAAATTTGAAATTGTTTATTAGCAGTTATGGATTTGCGGGTGCAATTTGCCCCCATTAGGACTTATCTATATTATATATTGTATAATAAAAATTTAATGGAGGCAAAACTCATTTTGAAGGTCAAAATAGTGTAACATTATATCGCACTTATATCGTCCAGTTAAACCACATTCAAATTTGTCTCCCAATTATTTTATTAAGTAACTCCATGAGTCAATTCAAATACATGGATTTCAAGTATATACTTTTGTTTATTCGACAATTAAGATAAAATGATATTTTTGTTAATAGCGGCAAGGTCGGGCAAATGAAAGGAGTACATGAAGGCATCCTCTCTCTTATGTGGCGAGTGGTCAACATATCGTCAATTTATCCATTTAATTTATGTTTGGCTTATGAAAAAATGAATAATTTAAAAAATATTTTTTTTAAAATGATCGCTTGAAATAATTATCCAATAAAAAATATTTCATTATCAATAATAATTTATATCAAAATATTTCATGACCATTACATTCATTTTTATAAATAATATAAGTAATAATTTTCAGGAAAATATTTTTGTAATTGTTCATTTTGGCAAAATAAACAGAGTTTTAAAAGATATTTTTGTGGCAAAAAAAAAAAAAAAAAACTCTTCTAGTAGATTCCTAGAAAGGCTCGAGCGAGAAAGCGCCAAGCAAGACAAATATCTCTTCTTCTTCTTCTTGTTACGAACCGAGTGCAGAGTCTTTCTTCAGTCAACTGCGAGTTCCCCGGACATCTTCTCTAAGCCGCAGCGAATGGCTGCCACGATCTCGACCCACTTCAGCGTCACGCCTCACCGTCTCCGCCGACCCGTTCTTTCGAGCTCTCGTTCGAAGGCCGTTCGCTTTCCGAGCACCAGAACCAGGAGGAGGATCTTGATTCATCCCAAATTCGATGCTGACGGTCCATTTCTCGCCCGGGTCTGTGGCGATGGTGGGGGCGCCATTGACGCTTCCGCGCACCAGTCCGCGTCTTCTGTGAGTTTCTTTCTCTTGGCCTCTGTCGTTTCTGTTGCGGGGTTCTTGAGTTTTCAAGGTTTTCCAGTTTTCTTTTTCTTTTCGTCGTGATTAATCCAGGCGTTACTGGTTTTTTATTATATGGGTTGTGGATGCATTTTCTTTTGGAGGGTTTTTGACGGTTGAGTTAGAGGATATGGGGATTGTACCTGTTTTGGCATTTGGGAAGAGAAGAGTATGTGTTGCTGCTGTTGCACATAGGAAGTTTGCAGTTATTCTTCATTGAAGCCGTGTCATTCTATGGTTTAACAATTTTTGAGCTGCCATTTGTTGGTGGATACATGTTTTTCTTTTGAAGGTTGATTGAAATGAGGATGCAGGGGCATGCCCTTATATTTGATAGTAATGAAAGTGCGAAGGCGCTTGTGCCCTACATTTCTACTGTTTATGCATTGTTTTGTATAGGTTCTTTGAGGAATAATCTAGTACTCTCGGGGAATACAGTGCTTGTTTTGCATTTTGCTTTGGAATTAGGATGGGCCCATTCAAGATGTCAGGGGGGCATTGGAATGTGCAGTGATTTTAGTGCATTCTTTCTGTTGATATGATGTTTAACTTGCTTGCTTACATCGATGACAGTAGGGTTAGTTGCTGAGGGTTGTGATTTCTTGTCGCTCTCTCATTATTCTTCCCTGCATATGTATCTTCCTTCGCCTAATTATTAGGCAAGAGGAAGTTGAAAGAGATATGATTGTTAACTGGACATATCATCTCCCTCCCCGTATCCGACATTGCGCTTTCCTATTTGGTTCACAATTGTTCTTGTTTTGTTACTTGAGATCCAGAACATTGAAGGAAAAGGTGGTAGCAATTCCAGTTTCGGGGATGGTTATGTGGCTTTGTTTGTGCGGATGCTTGGGGTAGACCAAGATCCCCTTGACAGGGAACAGGCAGTAGTGGCACTGTGGAAATACTCACTGGGAGGGAAGAAGCAGATCGATGCCATTATGCAATTTCATGGGTGCATAAATCTAACAGTAAATCTTCTTACGTCAGACTCAACTTCAGCATGTGAAGCAGCTGCGGGGCTTCTGAGATTGATATCATCTGTAAATGTATATAGAGAGTCAGTGGCAGGAGCTGGAGCTGTGGAGGAGATAACTGGTTTGCTAAGTCGACCTTCTTTGACTCCCGAGGTATAGGAGAGGTATCTATTGGCAGAATTCCTCTCCACACATATATGGGTCTTGGTAGGAGAAATTGAGACATTTTATGAACTAATTTCTGCAGGTAAAAGAGCAATGTTTGTGTACTTTGTGGAACCTGTCAGTGGATGAGAACTTCAGATTAAAGATTGCTAACTCTGAGGTCTTGCCATTAATAATTAAATCCCTGGATGATGAGGACATAAAAGTGAAGGAGGCAGCAGGAGGGGTATTATCTACATTGGCGCTAAGTGAATCAAACCACGGAATCATGGTTGAATATGGTGTCATCCCAAAATTGGTGAGGCTTCCTTTTATTGTATGGTTCTTGACCAATAATTAATTGATAATGTTCTAAAATTTAATGGCACTTTCTTTGGTATGTCAGACCAAATATCTAATGCAAAACGAACATGAAAACGGTCACCATATTGTTCTTTGAACCAAAGTTAATAGTGTCTGACTAAATTTATCCCAGAAATTTGATCTTTTGTCAAACTGTTAATAATTTAGTAGTGCACGGTTTCAAGTTCTTGCCATCCAGCATTGAGATGTTCCTGAAAAAAATGTTGACTTGTAAAATGCCATTATTCTCACATACTCGAAACATTGCTTCTGATTGAATACCGGATGCGCACCTGCTTACGTAAAGCATGATTAGTTTCTTCCTCTATTTTTTTTTAATCTGTGGAGCATTTTCTTGTCATCAGTGTGTCACATGCATTGAAACATGCATTACATGTATAAAAATGTCATATATCAGCTTTACAATGAATAAGTATGGTGACCTTAGGAGGCTTGGAGCATTATTGATCTGTACTCTCTTTGATTTCCATGCTGAGAGAACTGATCTTAAGATATACTAAACCATGGAATTTTTTAGAGTCCGTTAGATGATCATTTGTCATGGAGTGGACTAAGTCTGTCCATATAAGCACGTGAGTCAAGTGGAATTTGCAAATGCATTTGTTGATTCATCGATTCTGCTTGTTTTGCTCTTCTTTCTCTGAATGGTGATAACTTTGACTTTTGGTCTTCCTTCACAAGAGGCTAATCTATTTGGTGTGTTCCAGGCGGAAGCACTTTTAAGGCCTGATGTGGAGGGATCCAAAGTCATCAGAAAGGAAGCGAAAAGTGCATTGTTGGAACTTGCCAAGAATGATTACTATCGAATTTTAATTATTGAAGAGGGCCTTGTTCCTGTTCCCATGGTTGGTGCACATGCATATAAATCCTTTAGGCCATCTTTGCATTCTTGGCCTAGCTTACCTGATGGTACAGAGATTGAAAAGACATCTCAGGGCCCTTCAAGGTTCGGTGCCTCTGAGTTACTGCTTGGATTGAATGTAAATGGCGAAAACCTGAATGTTGAGGAAGCTAGAATGAATGCGATAGTTGGACGTACTCAGCAACAGTTTCTTGCCAGAATTGGGGCTATTGAATTAGAAGAGGAAGGACAATCCCAACCTGAGAATTCTTCTGGTGGGATGTTAACACTTTTGCCCTGTGTGGATGGTGTAGCACGGCTTATTTTAATTCTTGGACTTGAAGACGAGTCTGCCATAGCAAGAGCTGCTGAGTCCATTGCTGATGCATCTATCAATGAATATATGCGCATCTCATTCAAAGAAGCTGGAGCTCTCATGCATCTGGTGAAGCTTTTAGAGTGGGATAATGATGCTATTAAGATAGCTTCAACCCATGCTCTTGAGAGATTGTCCCTCAGGTAACGTGCACCTCTATATATTTTGAGGCCCTTAACCAACTGTGACAGGTATCAGTTTCCATGTATCCAGCAATCGTCCAAGATATTTAGATGCATCCTTCTCTCTTTAGAAAAAGAAATCTATTAATATTAGAAAGATGATGGTAATATAATGTTTGAGGTGAGAACTTTGGAGAAAGATACTTGAATGTTGGTCTCTCAGCTGATTGAATTGTTTCTCTCTATTTTTTAAGAACTTAAGGTAGGGTTGACAACTACAACAATGATTACTCCACACTTTTCGTCTTTTGCATTATAAATTCAGAGGATGCTCATTCATGGTTTGCACTTGCCTTCTTTAATGTTGGTTAGCGTTTTAATTCGCCATGAGTTCGGATGCCTTCCCATTTTCCATCCAGTTGTGGAATGATGGGTTTGGTTTTTAGATGCTTAAGATCTTTCTTCATTGTTTCGGTTTTATGTTATCATGTTTTCTTACATGTGGTCTATGATATCCAAAGTGGTTTATCAGCCACCTTCCACTTAGTATTCGGATTTAGCAGCATTTTCCTCTTTTCCATCTTTATCATCTTATATCTATTTTCATTTTTCATGTTGATTATTTTCTTGTGCAGCAATGGTGTTTGCCAGATCATTGAAGCTGAAGGTGCTTTGCATCCTTTGATCAATACTCTGAAGCAGAAAGAAATCTCTGATACCCTGTTGGACAAGGTTTCATTAGCCATTTAATTTTATTTACTTATCTTCCTCTTTTCCTAGATGGCTGTACTTTTCGTTGCGATAATCTTACTATTCTTATGGGCAGACACTGGATCTACTTGCCAGGATTTTAGATCCCACCAAAGAGATGAGATCCAAGGTCACTTGTCCCGTCCTATGTTTTTGTTTTTGGTTCAAGATCAGTCTTTGTCGACAAATGACATTCTGACTATCTTTACCTGAATGCTTCAGTTTTATGATGAACCAGTTAATGGATCAAAAAGGAGTTCTGAGTCAGTAGGTAGATCTGATGCTGCTAATGGGTTTTCTGGGATGAGCTCCAGGGATTCCATATCAACAACAAATTCAGGGTACTCTGTCTGATCTCCCTAACCAGACACTTATTGCCTCTTTGTCATTCTTAATCAGTTGTTACTTGGTATATACTTGTTATTTTCATGTATGTCATGTTATGTCTATGTCATGTAAATTATCGCCCTTTAATCCTGTGACTTGTATGCCATTAGAAAATCACACAGATTAATTCAAGTACTAAACGCCAAATACAGCACAAACAGGAGTTTGCAAAAATCAGTTTATGAAGATCTGAAATGAACGAATGTGTTTACTGAGTAAGCTTTGTTAAGTTTGTCTACTAAATGAACGTTGCATGACCTGAGATTTGTGTGGTGCTTGCAATACTCAGATTCTAGCTCTCGATATATTTAATAGCTTTGTTAAATATAACTAAGCACTGGATACCTACAAAAGTATGTTCCCGAGCAGATGTCTATCCCCGAGAAGATAGACTAGACAGCCCCCCTTGGAATCCAGCATAGACTGCCTGTCCAATGAAAAAGTATGTAATCGGACCAGGAAAAGAAAAAAAAGGAAAAGGGAAAAGGTAGGAAGTGTATTAGTCAGTTACTTTACATGCTCCTTTTGCAAGTGTCTACATTTATCTCCTAGTCTGAATCTTGCAACCTCTGCTATTGCATCCGGTGGTCTTATGCTCATCTTGCCTAAAACTTACAACTACTCCATAGCTGATTTGCCGTCATCTTCTTCTTAGCGAGGTTTTGTTCTTCCTTCATGTTCTTGTGCATCCAGTCTCACTGCTTATTCTTCTTTGCCTATGGCCTCCTATATCAGTTTGATGGGGAGCAATGCTATACTGATGATCTCCTTTTTCTCTCAAATATATATAGCATCCAGTGGAGACGTAGATCTTGACAGGGAAACATGGGCGATCTGGGAATAATAGGGATTCTTAGTCTCTTGTCGATTCACTTCCTGATGTAGCTATATTTGACTGTAAGATGGGTGGATGCACAATGTGTAACAGCAGTATTGCTGGTTTTGGATAAGCTTCTACTCTGGACTAGGGTTCATGTATACACACATAGACGAGGATAAATGAGGAAGTTTGAGCAGTTGGAGATTCTCTATCTCTCAAGCAAAGTAGCTAATGTGATATTGTCAATTTATAGAAGGAAGGTATGAATATTCATCATTCTTTGGTCTGAAAGTGAGATTTGTCAAATGCATCGTAATCTGGATCCAATATGGTCTTGGTTTCAGATTATATTGCTTCTATTGGTGCTTGCGGAATCTGTTTGAATGAGAGGGCATTTACCTTTTGCATGCCTCAAAATAAACTGCAGGGTGCAAATGCTAGACTCTGCTGTCATTTCTCGCCTTTTTGAGATTTTGAAGACATCATCATTAACTCTACAGAGAAAGGCAGCTTCAATCCTTGAGTTCACTGCAATTACCTCCAATGTGGACACAGTTGATCCTGCAAACATTGAATCTGGCCTGGATGCGGTCTTCCAGCAAAATGTTTTGAAAGGTAAGCAAAATGTTTTGAAAGGTAAGCAAAATGTACACTTGTGATGAGAGGATTTCAAATATCAAGATTACATTTTTTACCAACATTACCTTGGGTGGTATCTTGTGAACATCATGATGTCGTGAGCCCCATTCTAAAGGCGTCACCATTGAGTAAATTGCTGCAGTGTTAGCATGGGATTTAACTGACTTTGTTAAGTTTTTGAGTTGAAGCTAATAAGGATAACGATATGCGCATGCACTGTGCTCAGTGACTAGGAAAAAAAAAGGCAAACGGAGCGAGTTTCTATTCTGCAAGACTAATTTCTAGTGTTATACTCACCTCTCTAAAACTCAAGATAATATGTTTTTCTTCTGATGTCCATGGAGTCAGAGTCATATACATAGATTGTAACTTGTTAAGTCACTGTTGCTTATGTTTCATGCGAGTTTTAGTGTAGGAAACTCCAGTAATGACCACACTGTCATGATATTGAGCCTTTTGTTTATTCATCCGTTGGCTGTTTACTCTGACATGGAAAAGACTCTCCTGCTATGTTATCACTATCATGATATTGAGCACTTCATTTAATTGTTTCTGCGTTGCTGTATCTGACAAGGAAACGCATAATATGCCTATGACTTGTCTAGCGGATCAAAAAGGACCTTGTTTACTCTGCCTGTTTGTCTTCAGGTGATCATTTGTTGTTGCAATTGTCTTCTCTTGTCGAACATTTCCTCCTTCGTGTGGTTGATGATATTCGTTCGCTCATCCTTTTGGCATGGCATTCTGTTGCTGCTTCATACCTATGATATTATTCGGCTGTGTGTTTACCAGACACAGAATCTGATGTGGAGGAAGAGCAGCCAGAACAATATGCATTAGAGGTCGAAGAAGCTGGACTCGCAATATCTGCAGCATCTCGCTTGCTAACAAAGCTTCTCGACTCTGATCACTTCCGCAAGAGTGTAGATTCTGCCCATTTCACTGCCTTACTCCGGAAAGTCCTCAAATCAAACATCCCTGTCCACTGTAAGGATTGGGTGGCTGCTTGTTTAGTGAAGCTAAGTTCGCTCTCTGGTTTTAGCAAGTATTTCGAGAATCCGATTAATGTGGAGGTGACTCTCTATGAAACAATCCCGAGATTAATAGAACAGCTGAAAGCCTCGTTCTCTCCAGAAGCTCAAGAGGTTGCAGCTGTGGAACTCAACCGGATAATCTCCGCAGGGGTCGTGGATTCCACGAGAGCAGTCGCTTCTGGTGGTGGCATCTTCCCGTTGGTTAATCTCCTAGAAGAAGGGACTGCAAGGGCATCCGAGGCGGCTTTGTCGATACTGTATAATCTGAGCATGGACAGTGAGAATCATCCGGCAATCATTGCAGCTGGAGCCGTGCCTGCTTTGAGGAGAATTATTCAAGCACAGAGAGCGCAGTGGCCAAGAGCACTTCGGTTGCTGAGGATATTGCCAGTATAGTTTGATGGCGAATTCAAAATGCATAGGAAAACTGAAGTACGTGAAAAAGAGCATAGCGGATGTAATCCACCAGTTCTGTAAGATTTTGATACTTGCATTATTACACTCTATGATATCTACACTCAAAAGGGTCATTCTTATATGTGTCGCCGGAAGTTTCGGAAAGATCATCGTCCTCTTTTCATTTCCTGCGGGGTTAAGTGCATTTGATCCGTACGGTTTGCGCGACGACCTTGCATGATTAGAGCAAAATGAACCTCTTTTAGCCTAAAAACCACATGAAATCAGATGGATGATTGCTGGGAACTTGAACTGATAATATGTATGCACTGATGCTTCACAAGACAGATCCAGAAATCAGAAGTGGACTTAGGACAGCAAAGCATAAGGATTCAAAGGCAAAGAACCTTCATTTGATGTCCACTCCCATAAACAAACGGTGGATAAGAAGCAGAAATTTGAGGGTACAAAAAAGTTTCAAATTATGTAAATTTGATTAAATCATAACTCCCTTTAATATCATAAATCCCTCAATTACTTATATGAACTGCAATTAAATCCACCTCTTTTATAGCATACAATAGAATTTTAAATCCATCCGATTTCTGGAATAGTTCAAATCAGCATATACTCTCTTTCTTCATTTACAATTTTATTTTTGAGAAAAAAAATCAAAAAATCCCAGATTACGCCTGCTGTGACACATTTATCATAAATTTTTTATTGTGATATAAAAGACCCCGGATTATACCCACCGAGACATATATATCCTAAACTTTTTTCTGTGATATAAAACACCTTAAATTTGTACATATGTAACATATTTACCCCCTGATCTCCATCAAAGTTTCGCAAGATGATTTTTCAGTAAAAACAACATTGTTTTTATGTCAACACCATTTGTTTTCCGGCGTCCATGTAGGCAGATTTTTAACGGTGTTCATTGACGGAATTTTGATGAAGGGATAAATGTGTCACACATATACAAATATGGAATTTTTGGTGTCACAGAAAATAATTTAGAATAGATGTTTCCTAGTTTGAAATTTTTGGTGGCTTTTTCCTTTTATTTTTTAAATATGCATATGCATGTGCTTTTATTTTAGTCAAGGAAAAAAAAAAAAGAGGATTTTCTTCCTTTCCTTCGCTTTACGCCCTCCTTCTTCGTCCCCCTCGTCGTCCCAGGGTTCAGGCTCGGCCCCGGCAACGCTCGGGAAATTTTTTCTCGGGAAAAAAATATTCAAACTTTCCCGGAAAATCGAACGAGCGGCGGCCCCCGCCGAACCACGAAACCCTAAATCCAAGTCTCCCTCCGGCCGGTCAACAATGGACAGGTCGCGCTGCAAGAGCTGCGGCTCCGGATCCCTAGCCCGGGACGACGTCTCCGGCATCCTGGTGTGCTCCGACTGCGGCTTCGTCGCCGAGCTCGACGACTTCCAGGCGCACATCGGCGGCATCAGCGGGCCCCAGGGCACCTTCGTCCGCGTCGGGACTTCCGGCACCGGCACCGTCTTGAACTACAGGGACAAGAAGGCCTTCGAGGCCCGGAAGCTGATCGACGACTTCCTGCTCAGGTTCGGCCTGTCCGCTCCTCGGTCCGACGACGTCAGGGACATGGTCCGTACGGTCACGGAGGGCGAGTTCGGGCAGGGCGAGTGGTTCGCGGTCCTGATCGGGGCGTGCGCTTACGTCGTCATGAGGAGGGAGAACCAGTCCCTCCCCATCGCCGAGGCGGCGTCGGTGGTCGGGTGCGACGACCACGAGCTGGGCAGGATGGTCGCGCGGGTGGTCGATTTTCTCGAATTGAGGGGCGAATTCCCCGTTTACGACATCGTGGTCGCGTACGAGAGGGCCGTGAGGAGCTTCTCGGGCTTCTCTAGGCTTCCTCGGGATAAGATCGAGACAATGCGGAAGCAGGGCATGTTTCTGATACAGTGTGCGGTGAAGTGGTTCTTGACGACGGGGAGGAGGCCGCTCCCGGTGGTGGCGGCGGTGTTGGTTCTCGTCGCGAAGCTGAACCACGTAGAGCTTGAGATTTCGGATGTTTCGGAGGAGCTCCATGCCGCGGTTGCGACGTCCAAGCTTCGGTATAAGGAGCTACTAGAGGCGCTTGTGGAGGTTTCCCGTGCCTTGCCTTGGGGGAAGGAGGTTACAGTAAAGAATGTGCTGAAGAATGCTCCTTTCGTGATCCAGTACATGGAGATGAAGTCGATGAAGAAGCGAGGTGCGAAGAAGAAGGATTCGGGAGTCGGGCGGGTTGATTTGGGTGATGTGGTGAGTGAATGTTTGAGAAAGGATGTGTACGATTTCGATGTAACTTATTTGGAGAGCGAATCTCATTATTTGGATGCGAAAGATAATCGTGATCATCAAGGACCGGATGTGCATCAGTTCGATAGGATCGAGATTTCGCACGAGTGTCTGGCGTTGGCTTACTTGAAGTTCTTGGAGGAAAGGAGCTCCCTTTCATGCAGTGTTGACAATGCAAATGCTCGTGGCAAAAGGAGAACGGGGTGCGATTATCATGCATCTATAGATTGGTGGAAGGGAAAATCGGAATTGAGCAAACGGTTGATGCTCAAGGAGATATTGGAGAAGGATGTGGGATTGGACGCAATGCCGCCTTCGTTTGTCAACGGTTGTATTGCCAACGAGAGGAGGAGACAGAAGATCGATGCTGCTAAGCAGCGCATCAATAGGATCATGCATCCCTCAGCTTCGGGTCCTGTGGACGTTTGTGAGTCCCAAATGTCGAGTTCAAGTTCGAGTTCTGTGCATAGTAAGAAGAAAAGAAAGAGAAGTCAAGCGATAGATGTGGTGGATTGGGAAGATTTTATAATCGAGGCCCTACTTCTTCATCAGGTGAAGGAGGAGGAAATCGAGAAGGGTCACTACAGTACTTTGCTTGATTTGTATGTATTCAACTCTGGGGAAATGTAGGCACTCTTTTGTGGAATCCACCATACTAACTTTTTGGAACTTGCTTGATTCTTTTGCCTTTTGTTGATAGACTTTGCTCTTACCCCTTTTGTTCTCTTGAGGCATGCTGGTGTTGTTTGTCAATGTAGTTGCAGAGCATTTTTGTTTAAATACCAATATAAACGGAAACTGTATAGCACGAGTAACTCGTTTTCCCGATGGTTTGATCGATATGAAACATCAGAGAAAGATCTGAATCCCATCTGCTTAGTAGAACTCTCTGCATAACCATAACTGTTTTTGAAATCCCATGATCTGATCTGTCAAAGGAGGCTTGCGGTTTCTATGGATATTAAGCTCAGTCGTGTTGTAGAAACCTCTGCATCAGATTAACTCTGGCATATCTTTGAGCTTTGCCAAGACTGTCAGGTGATTCATAGAATGATAACTCGTGGAGTTTCATGACTACATATTGCGGTAATGGTGCTGCAGGGTGAAAAGCTACCTTGGCGAACTGGGTGCAGCCAAAAGTTCCGTGTGCGGACCAAGATTACATGTTTCTTTTGTCCCTTTGAGAGCGGTTCGCAAAAGGAATGAAAGATTTGAGTTTTCATGGAAGAAAGAACGAGATGGAAAAGAAAACCTAGCAAGACCTTACCTTCCATAAAATGAATTAGTTTCACTGGCAGCCCCCAATCTGCCAAAGACAGATGCTAAGTTCAAAGAGGTAAGCCGAGAAATCTCTCGTCTTTGTACATTAACATGTTACATGGAACCGGTAAGACGACAAGTCCCTGTTGCTTCTTCCATGGAAGCATTACTTCACTTCATAGCTCATACACTAAAAGTGCATGATGTCCATAGTGGCCGCTGAAGGTTTCATCCATTGCAATTCCTTCCCTTGATGACCAGAACAAACTTGAAGGTAAATCGGTCAAGGGAATCTTTTTCATGCCTGATAAAGATCTCATTAACCAGAACACTCGCAAGCATGTTTAGACTTCGCCGACGATAGAAATTGATTAATGAGTTCCAGCTCGAGGAATGAGGTATCGTATCGATCCATGTTAGCATTTTCCGTCTCCCTTGCTGTATGTATTTCCGCTTCAACTTCCCGGGTGTGTCGTTTCCTCATTTGTAATCTGGTTGCTCTTGCCTTGTTGACCAATGTGCTGGCCTGATTGGAAGCTGGCCGGATTTTTTCCGGCCATCGAACCGACACGTTCTCCGTACGAATTACGTCGTTTACAAAAATAATGAGATTGTCAAAAGAATTTTAACCTCTCTAGTTCAAAACATTTTTCTTTTTATTCTTATCATTCTGCTCCAAAGTATGAAGGAGACAGGTAAATTACCAAGAAAGTCATTAACCTATTGTACTTGTGCCAATTTAGTCCAAACCTTTCAATTTGGTCAATTAAGTTCTAAACATTTTGATAATTTGCCAAAATAGTCTATTTGGCCAATTTTGGCTGGAAATCACTGACATAAACACCAGACATTTTACGTGACATGGCCAGACGGTCGACGAGGATGGCCCTCGCCCAAGCCAGGGTGACCTCACCCTCGCTTGTGGCCGGCCATCGGCAAAAAGGAAAGGAAAAGAAAAGGAAAGAAAAAAAAAGAAACGAAAAAATTCAGAAATTTTTCTAAAAAAAATTTCAAAAATTATCCACGTTAGAGCCAGTCATGCCACGTAGGACAGTCGGCATCCACGTCAGCAATTTTCCGATCAAAATTGGCTGAATGGACTATATTGGTAAATTGTCTAAAGATTTTAGACTGAGTTGGTCAAATTGAAAAGTTGAGGACTTTCTAGATAATTTTCCCATAATATGAAGGAGACTAATGGAGGAGTGACAAACTATTTGGGATTTGATCAATGTGCATCTTTTTGCCTGCTTCTATATATCGGATACTGATCCCTAGCTTCTCAAATAAATTAGGATCGATCGATGGGTAATAGTTCATTTGCAACAATTCTATCTCTTGTAGTGTTTGGTATAATGAAATGGAATAGAATGGTATGAAATAAGGAAATTGAATACAACGGAATCACGAAATGGAATGGAACAAAACAATTTCGACAACTTTATTTAGTAAACTATGGAATAGGATGGAATGACCTCGTGTTTGGCTGTAAGAAAAATGTTCTTGGTATCGAATTGAATGGGATTTTTCTGATTAGTTTAAATTGTATGCATTTACATTAACAGTAAACTGGACTTTAATGTTAATCCTATTATTAATTAATTGTAATTTGTTAATAATCATTTACAATTTATTAAAAAAGAACTTTAAAAACACTGATTATTTTTCTAAAATAATTAATTATATTTTATAACATACTTTCAAAGATAGGTAATTAATCAAATTTTTTTGAGTGTCGTTGGTGGACGGGCATTCCATCGATTTCAATATTGCCCAACCAACTGAAATCGCCAACCAAACATAAATGATTGAAAAGATCAAGATTCCATTCCAATGTTGCCAACCAAACAAAAACTACAAGTTTTCTCAAGTACAATTTGTCCCTTTCAAATAATTGTTTTCAAGATAAACTTCGATGATCGGTCAATATGCGCTTTAATTTTTCCTTCGATTAACCAATCACGACGGAATGAACGATCAATACTAGCAGTCCTCCTTAATCATTGTTATAGAAATTCCACGGCTGCCGGAGAATGTTTGGCTGCACACCCTCTCGACGTTGATTTTATCAGCCTTGCGCGCCTGCGCGCACACATACATATACATATACATGTAGAAAAAAGAGCCATGAGAAAAGAGAAACTTCAGTGGCTGCATTAGAAAACATTATCCGCATCTCCAGAGAGAGAGAGAAACAGAGCAGCAGCAGCAGCAGCAGCTTCCCCTGGCTCTCATAGAGACTCCCCTGAGTACTCACCGAGCCACTATGCTTTGCTTATCTTGCGTTTCCATCACCACCCCCAACGCATCAGTTCGTGCCTCCCTCGCTGACAACCACTCCTTACCTTCAGTTCCCCATGTCAAGGTCGACCCGAAGCCCTCATCCCCAAGAATCAGCAGAACCACCCCAGCTCCACCAGGAGGAAACAAGCAGAAGAAGACCCAGAAACAGCAGCCCGCCGTCATCGAGATTGAGCGAGCTATCGGTGCCGGCAGGTTCAGTGACGCCGACCCCAGGTACTCCCCTTCTTTCTTCGCTCTGCCGCTTCTTTTTTTGATTTCTCCATTGTGTGCAAAGGTATAGTTCTTTCAGGTTTTTGGTAAGAGTTGGTTAGGTTTCCTTAGGATCAGGAGGCCCCGCCTAAGTAAGTAAACATGGCCCACGTAGTTTCCTGCTAATTTCACAGACTAGGTAAGACGTGAAAGTCCCCATGGATGGCCTGAATTATGAGATTGTTTGCACATCCATGCCTCGGTCATTCAGCCAACCCCATAGATTTAGTTGGTCTGGTATTGCTAGGCAAAGACATGACATACCTAATTTCGATGGGCATAGAGCATGTGATTCATCACGGTCGGCAATGCATTAACATGTAGTGCGAATGCTTAATTGGGGAAGAGGGTGAATTTACTTGAAATGTATAGGGAGTTGGAGCAGGGGAAGTCTGTACTGGGTGGGGTGCTACCAACTGATGGCTGGAAAGTGGAGAGCTCGTTGGAGAGGAAGCTCCGAGAGACCGGAGAGTGGATTGTGGATCGATCCGAAAGACGCCCAGCATCTGCAGGTAATGATTTTTTCCCGGCCTTCGATTATACTTGTGCATCTGTTTGTTTCTGAGAATCTGTTTTCTGAGAAGTTGTGTGTGATTTGTGTGACTGTTCTTAAAGATTCTCGATCTTTTTCTTTCGATCTAACCAATTGTTTTCTGGGAAGTTGTGTGAGAGCGCCCATGCACTTACACATGCCAAGTCTGATAAAATGTGTCTTTACGCAGGAAAGAGCATCTTAATAGTAGTGTTCCAGTGGGTTTTGCCTGCATGGGTTCTTATGCTTCTAGTTGCATCCGGTGCCGTAAAGCTACCATTCGGCGTTCCATTTCTTGATGACCTGATTATGTGAATGTCACGCACAGATTCAATCCCAAATGTCAATGCTTATTAGCCAGGGTGCACTATGCATTATACTTCTCGACCATTTGATCAGGAATCAGCTTACAGCATGAGTAAACTGAAGAGTGTCTCGTGACATGAGTAGCATTTCGAAAGGCTCGAGTGCTTTGATTGCTGAACCTGCTTTCCAAGAGCTCCCTCATGACTCAAGATACATGGCCACTGATTATCAGAAGTTGGATTAGATGGTCGGGAAGGATCTTGGAGGGATTTCGTGTTGGCATGGGATTGCTCCTCCTTTTCCTACACGATTTCCTTCGGTACTTGATGTAAAATGAACTGTGTAGCTTGCTCACTTAAATACATGCGATGAAAGTTCCCTTCCTATCCTAGAAGATTGCGGTCCTCATCTCAATATTCGGTCCTTGTTTTCTACTTCTTTTCTCGCAGAGTAAGAGCGAAGCAACTTCCCGTAACTTCTCGATCTTTCTCAGCTCGTTTGCCCATCAAAAAGCTTCCGAAACGATCCTCCCGAATCCGGTTCTCATCGAATCCTGGGGTATTTTTCCTTCAATTGTATGCCGAGTCCTTGGGTCCTACATTAGCTCCCTCCGCGCCGTTATGGGCGTCGGTTCGCGCTCGTCAATCACCGTATTGGAGGTGCCGATTCCTCATATGGTACTGTCCCGACAAAAAAAACAAAATGACAGAGAGAATCTGCTGGAAAGTTTGGCTGGCGTGAAAGACAGCAAGGAGCATCAACAAAGCGATCTTGTTGTTGCGTAATATGAGAACTCCGAAGTTGGACAACAACCCTTACCCGAATTTAGAATGGCCTGTCTATTCAGACGGCTCGTTGGAAAAGGGCATTGCTTGTGAATTGTATAAATCTGGGGTCGGCCACTTGCTTCTTTGCTTTGGTCAACTGGGTCCGTCCCGTGGTATTTTATGTGAGTTTGAACGCTAAAGCTTCGAGATGAACGACGATGATCGTGCGTGCCCAGCCTGGTCAACGAAAGCGCGGTTTGTCCTGTGTCTCTGGTCTATATTGTTCAGCCTCCAGAAACTAACAATTATTCTCTCTCTTGTTCTCAAGTCAGGAGCCTCCAATTTGAAGCAAAGAATCGATGTCGTGCCGCGGATTTTTTGCCCGAAAGAAAAACTGTTCTGAGGCCGAGGCATTTTCTTTTAATAAAACCTTGAACAGAGCAGCGATGGGAAAAGTACAAAAAAAAGAAAAAAAAGACATAAACCTGTTGCATCGGTATTAACTTGATCCTAAACCTTTCAGTTGGCCCAATATAGTCCTAAACATTTTGCATTTGTATCAATTGAGACCATTCAGCTAATTTTGATTGGAAATCGTTGATGTAGATGTCGACTATCATATCCGACGTTGACGTGGATTCATTTTGACCGATGAGGGCTTGCCAGCAAGCCGCGACCCTCGCCGACCAAAATGAAAGGTAAAAAAAAAAGAGGAAAAAACAAAAAAGAAAAATAGAATAGATTCAATTGGCACAAATGCAAAATGTTTAGGATTAAATTAATCTTTAGTACTGTATTGGTACCAAAGCAATAGATTTATGACTCTTTGATACTTTGCTTGAGGAGTGACCGGGGTAGCCATTCTTGTGGTCATTATCGTAAAACTCTCGCGCGCTATCCAATGTTTAATTTGAGTCGTAATTGCTTATTACAATAGGAGTTTCACACTTGCGATACAACCGAGTCCCTGCAAGACAGATTTCCCACACCACTTCATATCGTGTATCGGTACCCCTGTCCCGATAGTCAACAACGGCGAATACAAAATAGGATCACATTGTACAATCAATTCAATGGATTTGTTCGAATTCGAGCACTCGGTTGTATAGAAAAAAAAATTACAAGACCAAGGTTCCTTTTTCCTAGATCTCTAGACTCTAGTAACTCTATAGTTTGGAAATTACTTGGGCAGATCGTTCTAGCTTCATTTGAGGAGTAGGTGCACTCCAATATCCAATTTCATGAAAGCAAGATAGGCTTTCTCAAACTACCGAGCTTTTTGGCAAAGATGCATACTATTTTCCGTTTCTTAAAGTTGCGAATTCGAAGCTCGGGTATTCTTCACGTCGACATGTCTCGTTCACGAGCCGACCCTTTCTAGATCTGTCCTCGCAGGACAAGTGCTTATGGCTCAACCGAGACACGCATACTCAAGCGGGTACGGAACCCTCATCTTAACGCCTTCGATATGCCCGTCCCATTTACAATTTCTCCTTCTTTTTTGTTACAATTTGCACACAGTCATCATAATTGAACATGTTTGTCATCAATTAAAGCTGCGTCGGGTCACATCGCATGTGCCAATTTGAGTCCATCATGCGAAGCATTCTTTTGGTGGATCCTTACACACGTGCTTCCATGGAGGATCCAGGCCATTGGTTCATCATTTTTGCCTACATGGCAAGACTTATATGATTGCAACTTTGTCCATGGGCCCATGTTCCTTTCACATGAAGCTACCTGCATGGGCATGAAAAGTTACAAAAATAAACTATTCGATAGCGAGTGCAATGTTAGATCTTTTTATTCAAGATTAAAACATAATCCCACCTATTATTATAATTGCCTGATAATAAGGATAGGTAAAATGTCTACCCATAAAGTCGTGCTCAAGTTTCTAACATCTAATTATCTCGACCGAGAATGTCGATTTCAACCGGCCGATTCAAGACGCTTCCCTGATTTATTACTTGGGTGCAAGTTTTATATCATTCTTTCGCGAAATATAGAAAAGATTTTGCAACATTTTCAGAGTAACAAAACGTAATTTAAGAAAAATACGGGCATTCAAAAGGGAAAAGGAACAAAACACAAATGGTCCATGAACTTTTGTCCAATGTGTAATATAGTCATTGCATTTTTAATTTATTTAATGTGGTCCATAAACTTAAGTCGATATGTAATGTGGTTCCTGAATTTTTAATTTGTTCAAATGTGATCCATGAACTTTTGATACATGTTCAATATAATCCATGGATTATATAAAAATGTTCAATGTTGCCCCTAAACTTGAATTAATGGAATGATGACATTGAATATTTTTATATAATCCAGGGATTAACTTGAACATGTACAAAGAAATTTAGGGACCACATTGAACATATTAAAAGTTTGAGGATCATACTGCATATTGAAATAAAATTTAGGGACCACATTGCACATTATCTCAAAGGGAAACGTGGATATGCTATTGATATTAGTGCGAGGCATGCAAGTTCTAATGTCAAACTAGATGTAAATTATAACATAACAATTTGAGACAAATATGATGGGAAATTATTAATGAAAAATCACAAGTGGTAATAAGATGAATTTTTTTGCTAAGATAATAATCACTAAATATTTCTCGTACCGAGATTCATACAGGAATTAGTAAATTACCGGAAAATTTTGTAAGAACAAAATAAAGCTTTAAAGTGCCCTGTGCATCGAACGAATTTTCTACTGGCTTGTAGCGAAAAAAAATAAATTGGAGTTTACTACGCGAAAACCTTTACGTCGTTGTTTAGGGAGGTAAAAAAAAAAATCAAATTTAAGAATGGCTTCCTCCTATATGTGTTTGCTTCGTGGTTAAGGAATTTAAATGTGCAAAATGTGGATGGAGGTGCTCGATGGAGATTCGATTATTCAATCTCGCCTCGTCTTTCCTTATTATTAAAGAAAAAAAAAACGGAAGCTGATAAGCCAAACCAAATCTGTTTCTTCATATATCATTTTGATTTTACTTTGATAAGCGAAACAGATAATCTTTTCATTGATCGACTGCCATAATCTATGTTTTTATAACTATGAACAACTCTTGAAAAAAAACAAGTAATAGATGAAAATAATAATTACATTATTAGACGCGCAATTAATTAAAATAAAATGCTGAAAAAACTTACACAAACCATAAAAATGTTTATATATGTATACACACACATGATAGTCTAGTCTTACACGAAATTGGGTGTGCCCACTTCAATAACCAATTACGAATTTTGAAATTTCAAATAATAAAAATGCACAAGTTATTATTTATTAACGTTTGTGTCTGTTCATCTTTTTCCTTTTTCCTTTTCTCCTTCGTTATTATATTTCTCGCCGGATACGATATTCCCGTAAAAAAAAAAGAAAGAAAAGAAAATGGGGCCTGTCATCTCGCCTAAGATGGAGGGCACCTATTACTGGTAATTATGACAAGCAGCGAAATTCTCATTCCTGACGCCTTTTCCCCTTTATTCACGAATATTAAAAAAAAAAAAACAAAAACACATTTTAAGGGAAAAGAAAAAAAGGAAGGGGGAGGGTGGGTGGGGGTCCACCACCGCCATCCACTGCGGAAAGCCAAAATCATGACGAGGACACACACCGCCACCGAAAGGTCCTAAAAATCCAGCGTGGAGTTTTGCCAAATTCGCCCGAAAAAGGGAAATCGCGAAATGGTCAATAATGGATCACCCAAAAATACCAATTTTATCTTGAGCGAAAATTTTGGCCAGAATTTTTTTTTTCTCTCATAAAAAATAAAAAATTTTCACTTATACCTCAAATCTGGTCCGAATAATTTAAAAATTTCATATCATGAGAGCTAAATTTGGGACTCGAGTGAAAATTAATGTTTCTTATCGAGACAAAAAAGGAGTTTTACCCACCCATGGGTAGCTCATTTGGTTAGGGCGTACTTGAGATTGTGTGGTTAGGCGCACTTGGCCCCAGTGCTCGATTCCTCACCGAAGACTCATGATTTAAGGGGGTCATGGCGTGGCCTTTGCTTAGTCTCCTCCGAGGAATAGTCGAGATGCGCGCAAGCTGGTCCGGACATCTCGGTTACAAAAAAAAAAAAAAAAAAGGAGTTTGAGCAAGAATCGTCGTTAAGGTAAAATTGATGCCTTTTTCTAGAATTAGCCCAGATAAAGAAAGAAAGAAAGAAAGGAAAATCAATTTCGTTTTAGAATCCTCTCAGGCGAGAGCACCGAAGAAATCGGTGGACCCGAGTTCTCGCTCCTTTGATTCGATTGATCCCCAATCGAAATTCCTCCACCCCTCTCTCTCTCTCTCTCTCCTTCTTCTTCATCTTCTCCAAGTCCAACCAACTGCTCCGTCAAACGCAGCCTCCCCCAAAAAATACAGAAGAGAGAGAGAGAGACAGAGAGAGAGGGAGAGAGAGATTGAAGGCCTGTCCACCACGTAAACGAGCGAGATCGTCGGCGGAGAGCGAGCGGGCGGGCGGGCGGGCGGGCGGAGCGGAGGAGACGCCATCTCCGCGGACAGCGATCTGAGCGGGCGGAGGGAGGGTGTACACCGTACAGACAGATGGGCACGCTCAAGACCTGGAGGAAGGCCTACGGCGCTCTCAAGGACTCCACCAAAGTCGGCCTTGCCCACGTCAACAGCGATTACGCCGTACACCTCCCTTCCCTCCTCCCCCTCCCCCCCCTCTCTCTCTACCTTCTTCTTCTTCTTCTTCTTCTGCTCTTCGTCTTTTTTTTTTTACGGGAGATCTTTCGTGCTCGCAGGAATTGGATGTCGCCATAGTCAAGGCCACGAACCACGTCGAGTGCCAGCCCAAGGAGCGGCACCTCCGCAGTGAGTAACTCCCTCTCCCCTCCCCGATCGTTGCTGCCGTGTTTTTGTTTGATGCCCCGCGCTCGTGTGGCGCGGCTGGATGTGAAATGATGGTGGATTTTTTTTTTGGTTTCCTTTGCCCTGTTGCAGAGATCGCCGTCGCCACCTCGGCGGTCCGACCGCGGGCCGACGTCGCGTACTGCATCCACGCGCTCTCCAGGAGGCTCGCCAAGACGCATAATTGGACGGTACGACCGGGGTTCTTTATCTGTACCGTTCGGATTTGGATGCTGTCTTTATTTTGATGTGCTTCCGCGTGGATCTATGCACCGTTTTGGGACTTCGCAGCGACTGTTCTTACGGTTGCTTCGCCTGATTGGTTATTGTATGACTGCTCATATCCGCAAGTGCTGAAAGGAGTACGTACTCCAGTAATGAACTTACACCGACACTGATTCTACCGATGCCGCTACCGCACTTACGTGTGATCCTTGAATGTGTTGGATTGTGGCTTCGGATTGTTTTTTATTGATCGCGGAGAACGTGTCCTGCGAAAATTTCCACATGATCACTGAGGGAACAGAGTTTGAGAGCGTATCTTTTTAGGTGGATCGCATTGCTCCTTGCGAAAGTAAGTTATGTACTTCGAGGGTTTGGTTCTAGCTTGAAATGGCGGTACTTTTCTTCTCCGCGGGGTTTGTCATCTTAACGCGGTGATCAATATAAGTCTTGGATATTTTTTTTTTTGTATAGGAGCGAATTTTTTTATTTGACATTCACATTCACCTTGAGCGAACAATCCATCATAAGGATTCGTATCTTCTTTGTCTTGCCTTGACAACTGAAGGATCGTACATTGTCGTTACCGCATGTTGATCTTAGATGATGGAGGAGTGGGGAAATAGACGTCGAACTGGTCTAGCTCAGACTTGGTTTTGTGTGATATTTATGTGTAACATCCGTGTGCATCTAGACGTAACCTGAGCTTGGCTGCTTAACTTTTTAACTCATGTATTTGAGACTACAGAAAAGTTAGAGTAAGAACAACATGTATCGCACTTCATTTGACAAGAACAATGCATTCTACAGAAATTTCGGTTGATATGACGTTATGTTCTCTCGGTGACATTCATCTTTCGCAATAGCTGCCTCAAATAGTCATCACTTCTATATTATTTTTGTGCATTTCTTTTGCTTATTATGCCTAGTATCTCTGCGCACCATGCGCGTGCCTGATATGTTGAGAAAAGGCATTGATGCCGATAGAAAGAGATGCCAATGGTGTGGGTGAGTTGTTGAACATAAAGGAAATATCCCTTTGTAAGCATGTGTGAAGAAAGTGGATTACAGGTGTGGAGTTCTGAAGGAGAGGTATTTATTTGGAAATTGGTTGTGGTGTGAAGGTGGGTGGTATTGTACTTTTTTCCGCATTACTCTACCTCAAGGAAGGTTTTCATGTAGGGGCAGAAGCAGAAATTGAAATAGCTAAAAGTAAGACCAAAGCAATTTTTCTGGTTATATTAGTGGGTTATTATGATGAGGAACTTACTTGTTTTGTGGTTAGCTAATCTCTTATTTACTGTTAGTCTCAGTAACGGAAAGCCTTCCTGCTTAACCCTGTCTGATTTGCATCCTTCACGAGTGCTGATTTTTTTACAGTCAGCACGTACTTTTGGCAGTTTGAATTCTATTACAGTCGGTTGTTCCCTTGTATATTATGAATGACACAATGTCTTTTATGAAGTCTGGAAATTAGTTTGATGTGTAAATTTTTTGTTCTGTATTACAGTTTTTTGATGTTACCTTTCATTAACCTGCTAATGTTCTTGAGTCCTTCATGCTCTAACAGGTGGCACTGAAAACATTGATAGTTATTCACAGACTCTTGAGAGAGGGAGATCCTACATTTCGGGAAGAGCTTTTGATTTTTTCACAGAGGGGACGAATTCTTCAGCTTTCTAATTTTAAGGATGACTCAAGTCCCATAGGTTTACCTCTCTCTCTCTCTGATGGCATTTGCTTTTAATTTTCTCGCACTATTCATTATACCTTTCCTTAAAACATGGAATATGATGCTATCACTGTTTTTTGCATGGTTTCAGCTTGGGATTGCTCAGCCTGGGTGCGCACCTATGCATTGTTTTTAGAGGAACGACTTGAATGCTTTAGAATTTTAAAGTATGACATTGAAGCAGAGCGTCTTCCAAGACCTGCTCAAGGACAGGAGAAGGTATTACATTTTGGTGTATCTTCATTTTCTATCCTTAGTAGGAACATTATAATGGAATAAATTCTCAATGAGGAGAACATGTTTGATTTGATTGATATTTGGAGTCAAGTTCGTCAAGAAGCTTTTTATAGGCTTGTGATACTGATTTCTGAGGCTTGTCAGTCTATTTATATCTATAGTTTTACAAGAATCATACAATCTGCATGAGTTCTGTCATCTTCGAAAGTAATTTCTTGCTGGAAGTATTCCTGATCCCATTGATAACGAGTGGGACCGATTGGGACCAAATAATATGATAGGTGTAGTTGCTGAACCGTACCACATAGTTCCGACAACAGCAAAAGTTGCAAAAAAGACGCAGCGGTACTATTGGAAAAGACAGTTTCAATAAGGCCCATACGTAATCCCTTAAATAGACACTGGGGCAGATGGAACCTAAGATGAAATAGGCCCACTGATATGCGTAGAGTAGCTGCAGCAATATGCTGAGAGGCTATTTCTCCCGGAACATAAAGAACAAAAACTTTCTATACCCCACGCTAGATTTACAGGTTGTTCCTTTCATTAGTCCATAAGGATCGGACTGCCACATTTTTTTAGTATTTTAGGATGTGATAAATCGTCTGAATTTATGCTTATTTGACATAGTCAAGTAATTGTTAGTGCATGGAAGGATCAGAGTTTGTTATTTACGGAAATTTGCTAAAACTGCAAAGGTCTTGGTGGGATTGATATGCATAATTGAAATAGGAAGTGGTAACAGTCATTCTTTAAAGAGATTATACATTTTACGGATATGGTATGGATGATGGTTTCATATGAGCGTGTTTCTATCATACGTATGAACTGTCAGTTTTCATTCCACATTTTGTCCAAGTGGACTTTACAATATTACTTGTATATGAGTAATGCACCACCAAGATGAAGCATTTGGGCATTGAACTCTTATATGGAGGCTAGTCTCTATTTTCTTCTATTTCACTAGCCAATTCTGCCGATTTCCTTGTCCCATGAACAATTGCTTCTCTATGAAGCAGTCCTTTCAAAGAAACATATATTTAGCGGTTTCATAGTTCTCTTGTCCGCTTGACTATGTTTTTGTCCATTGTCCAGTTTCAGTGGTGTGTGCAATATCTGAGCTTTAGTTTTGTTTGAGTTTTCACTTGCTCTGTTGTTGTGTGATGAAGATGCGTCAGGCTTTTCAGTAAGAAAGCATCAATTGCATGTGCTATATAAATGTGGTCTTGTAGAAGTATGAGCTGTTCCGGTGTTAAGTATGGTTGTATTTCATTAATCTTTCATCTTTTACTGGTAGGGCTACAGCAGAACCAGGGATTTGGATAGTGAAGAGCTGTTGGAGCAGTTGCCTGCTCTACAGAATCTTCTTTACCGACTTATTGGTTGCCAGGTACATACCTGAGTGGTCTACTTTCGCAAGTTTTAGAGGAGACTGGTCATTATGGAATTTCCCTATTTTACTGATGAACTACCTTCTAACACGTTTTTTACAGCCCGAAGGTGCAGCTGTTGGCAATTATTTAATACAGTATGCCCTGGCTCTGGTATTTTTTATACCTCTTTTCCTTTTCTTTATTTAATTTTGAAGCACTGATAAACACATGCTTCTCTCTCTTTTTTGTGAATAAGAATATCCTATCTGTTATCATCGAAGTATCTTATGTACAGGTTTTACTTTTCTGGCCAAATCCCCTGTACTAAACTAAAATAGCAAATAAGTTTAGCAGAAAACATGTGCATGAATTAGAAGTTGCATGGACTGAAACGTGGGTTGCATGAGCATTAGTGAAATTTCTGTGGGGGCATAGTTGCCACGTCTTTGAGCTGTATTCCCAACATCTCTCGTGTGAAATTGCTTCCGATTGTTTAATGTATATGGCGTGTTTGCTTAAACTTGCTGGGTAGTAATTACCTTTCTCTCATGAAAGCCTTATTTTTGAATGTTCTCTTATAAGATCATCAAATTAAAGAACATTGTTTTAGTATCGAGCATGTGATGGGTACTGCTCACTATATTTAGTTTTCAGGTGTTGAAAGAGAGCTTTAAGATCTACTGTGCTATCAACGATGGAATCATTAATCTGGTTGATAAGGTTTGTTAAGCTTACCCCTCTGTAACTTGAGATACCATATTTACTTCTAGCAAAGTTCTCTTTAAGCTTTGCAAATGCTTTTTACCCTGAAAATTTACAATTTTGCCCCAGTTTTTTGAGATGCCCCGACATGAAGCTGTGAAAGCTCTGGATGTTTACAAACGTGCCGGCCAACAGGTGACTGTACTGGTCCTACATTGGGGTATTTGACCAGTGGATGCGACTCTCCATATATCCTAAGATGTCCATGTTTTATGCAGGCTAGAAACTTATCTGATTTTTATGTAGTTTGCCGAGGTTTGGAACTTGCAAGGAATTTTCAGTTTCCGGTATTGAGAGAGGTAACATGCTGTTTGGTTGATCGAATATCTCCTCTCTTCTCTCGATCCTCTTGTATACAAATTCATGTATATGTATGTAGATATCTACATATGCTGATTAAATTCATCTGCACCTCTTGCAGCCTCCACAATCATTTCTGGCGACCATGGAAGAGTACATAGGAGAAGCACCACGAGTGGTTACTGTTCCAAGTGAGCCATTGGTAAGTATAGGATCTATTTACATACTGGATTGCATATGATTGCAGAAACTAGTCTATTTTATCCCATCTTCCTCTTTACTTTTCTAGTTTGGAAGACCATGCGTAGTACGGATTCGAAACATTTATCTAATTTGTAAAATGACTTGAATGTAACGGTGCATGTGAACTAATTATGATTTTGATTTGTGTATTTGATGAACTCTTGTCATTCACTGATTAAAAAAAAAAACTCTTGTGACTCCACTTCAATATAATCCAAGTTGAAATTACTTCTTTCTAGTTATGAACTCTTGACCTCTGGGGGATTCTTCATAACTTTGCATTATGTTTATTAAGTTTCCTTTTTACTTGGGTGTGTGGTAGTTTGCTATATTTTTTTTGGTGAGTGCTGTGATGTTCTTGATTCAGTAGTTAATGGGAAAGCTTCTTGTTATGTGTATAACCTTTAGTGTTACTGCCCAGGTGATTTTGTGGAGGGGAATATGAAATTTGTTAACAGGACATTTGTTTATTACCAGTTCATTTGTGGCCTCATTCACTGTATCAATTGAACTCGTGTAATTATTGTGAAGAGCAAAGAGAAGGGTACTTTTGATGACCAAGAGAAGCTTTTTTGCTCTTCTTGTGTGAGGGTAATTATGTACACAGTGTGTGGTAGTTTTTAATTAGGCATGCTTGGTTTCTAAAGCAACCATGAGTAATCAACCCTCCTTTGTAGGGCAAGATGCTATTAATAGGCCCCCCAACCCCGGACAGCAGTGAGATCAGGTTTAGGCTTTTCATGACAATTTTTTACACATGGTACTGTTTGATTTTGTTATGCTACTGAAATGGCTTATGTAGATAGAAAAGTCATTTTTGGTGGTCAACTCTTTTTGCCATTTGGTTGAAGATTATTCCTTTTTTTTTTTTCTCTTTTTTAATTCTTTTTCTGAAACATGTGCAAAGCTAATACTTAATTATTGTTAACAGCTTCAATTGACGTATAAACCAGAAGAAGTTCCAGATGAAGATGCCGAGGCATCTGCTGTTGAACCTGAGCCGCTTCCTTCAGATGTTGTTGCTGCATCTACCGTGGAGGTTGCTGCTGCTGATCCATCTCCTCCTCCTCCACCTAAAAATAATCTGGACACAGGAGATTTGCTGGTATGAACATTAGCTTTATTATGTCTGTTGATGGTTGTTCAGTGTAAAATTATTTGCGTGTGATCTTTATTTCTTTGGCCTTTCAGGGACTAAGTTTTGATGCACCTGATGCTTCTTTCATTGAGGAAAAGAATGCTTTAGCCTTGGCAATAGTTCCCTCAGAACCTGGTAAGCATTTTGCGTACGACCTCATGTCTACTCTTTGTGTTATGCTTGCTTGAGCGAAGTTTGGCTGGTTGTGACTGGTGCTGCTTCTTCAGCATTTGGTTCTGGTACTACTCAAGCTAAAGATTTCGATCCCACTGGATGGGAGCTTGCTCTGGTCTCTACCCCAAGTACTGACATCTCTGCAGCTAACGAGAGGCAACTGGTAATCTCTGCCTTTATCTTCTATGATTCTGTAGCGAATGGATTTTGCGAGCATTAACATCTCAAACTGTTTGTTTGCTGCTGTTGCTTGACTCTATTACATGGTTAGAAATTTAAAGGGCAATTTCAATGTCTTTCCTTCCCTGGCTCCCGGTAGTCCAAAAAACTGAACCAGTAATAGCAGTTCTTGTTGTCATTTATGGCACTGTCATGTTGTTATATTAGTTGTGTTCTGGGTGCTTTTGGTCTTTTAGCTAATGACTATACCTCCATAGATTCAATGGGAAGTAATAGTTAGGTTTGAGGCATTAAGACTCCCAGAAAAATGTCTTATAGCACATGCATGCTTATGTATGCTTACACTTACATGGATAGACAGAGAGAGACCCAGGGAGCGAGACATGAATAATTGATCTCAAATCTTATTAGTACGTGTAGCTTAGGTGGTAGAAGCACTGGTTTCATCATTTCCTTTTGCTAGTGGCATCATGTTGTGGCTATGATTGTTAACTTGTTATATTGATCCGTGGGTTGATGCCTCTATGTTGCTGTAGTTAAAGTTAACGTCAAGGTCATGTTAGAATGGCATTCGGGGAAGTAGCTATCTACTCTGTGAAATGGTTACAGGCAGACATATCAGAGTGATCTACATGTCTGTGATCGAGTAGCCTCCGACTCGTATTCCTTTATCTTGAGGGTTTAAGTTTTGTTGTATCTATGTTTATTAGAAACAGACATGGTACTCACATTCACTTTCTCAGTCCAGCTTGTTACTAGACCAAGACGGCACGTTCAATTTGTTGCTAAGTTTGACCAAAGAAAAAAATGGCGGCTAATTATTGTCAGATTTGATTGTATGGATTGAGAAAGTTCTCTCTGACTGCTGGAGTTTTTCTAGTAGTTAAGACTTGGGTTTATTGTAGCCGGATATCCTCTGGCAGTGCTGAAGCTCCTAGCTCCATCACATGGCACTTGGCAGCAGTGCCACGATACAACTGATGCTCCCCAGTTATTGGATTGCTGTTAACTGCATCTTTGTTTTTGAATGAATGCGATATGCACTGTCTGTCATCCATTTCCTATAGGTCAACTTTGTTGCTCTTGCTTGTGAAACTTCTCTTTTGACAGTCTGTTCAAAGGTTAAGACCACCACCTCTCTATTCCCATTGGGTAAAGTGATGTAGTGCCATATGCATCTTCCATGTGTTGATGAGCCATAATATCAGCCTATCAGGACGACAACATTCACATAGAGTAGGAAATAAGCACCCATTGTTGGCCCGTGGTATATTTGCAGCATGCGCAATTCACTGATTCATGTAAGTCTATTAGGATGACAATGACAACAATCGCATTAGAAAAATAAGCATGCATTGGCTTCCATAACACTCTTTTGTTTAATCAGAAGGGTAGTTTTGGCTGGTGGTATATATGCAGAACCAACATTGTGTTTAAATCAATGCATGAAGAAGTAAGTGATTGTTAGACCTGAGTGGAATTCAATAATGATGCATTTGTCAATCTGTTAATGGGTTTACATCGACTGATATGGACCTGCATTGACATGTTTTCTGCTTGTGTTTGTTCACTTCATAAGCTGTTCAAGGAAGCAATATGTATTTGTTGGCCTCATGATTTGTCCAGATGGACACGTTACCTTCGATTACTTCAAGTGTGATTATTTTGAGTCGCTCTTCTGTGGATTGTTAGGCTGGTGGGCTGGATACTCTCACACTACACAGTTTATATGATGAAGGGGCCTATCGAGCTTCCCAGCAGCCCATGTACGGAGCACCGGCCCCCAATCCATTCGAAGTACACGATCCTTTCGCTATTTCCAATGGGATCGCACCTCCTCCATCAGTACAGATGGCAGCATTGAACCAACATCAGACCAATCCTTTTGGACCATACCAACCCACATACCCGCTGCAGCAGCAGCAGCAGCCTCAGCAACACTTGATGGTGGGACCCGCCAATCCCTTTGGGGATCCTGGGTTCGGGGCATTCCCTGCGAATTCTGCCTCTCACCCTCCGGCCACTAATCCCTTCGGGAGCACCGGGCTTTTGTAATGCGGGTTCAGATTTTGTACAAACCGTAATCTAGTTCGTGCGGTTGATTTTGGGTGTGCAACATGAGAAAAGATTAGAAAGGCTCTTGGACCTGTCACAGAGAGGAGGGTGTAAGGTATAGGATGGTTTGCATGATTGAGCAGGGAGGATGCTACACGAAGTGAATAGAGGGAGACGAATGTGATTGAAAATATGTAGGACATAGTACTCTTTTGATCTTGCTACCGGTTGTCTTGTCTTGTATGCTGTCGGACAGCGATTTGTAAGTAGGGAGGAATAAATTCAACCTTGTGCTATTCACAGGACGATGAATATGTGATTGATTGTTTGATGCTCCTTTGATTGGTGTGCTTGGCAACCATTTACTTTTTAGTCCTTAATAACTTCTAGCTTCTGCGTGAGCCTCTGAAGTAACTGTGGCAAATGAAAGCGGTGCACGGGAAGGTTTTGCATATGATTGGTGCATTGCTTACATTGTATTCCTCGCGGTTTCGGATTGGAATCAAGGTATCTTCCGTGTCATGATTATCTCCCAACTCATTCTTAGCATATATGCCTGACCTTCATTATCATAAACATCCTCAAAAAGGCGAAAAGGTTTCCACGTCTCTCCCAACTGGAGAAGGTTCCCCGAATATATCTTTTGAGGAATAAATCGAAAGCTAAAGTTCAAGGAACCCATATATGCTCTCCTGTCTAATCTAAAGGGGGGATTCCCTTAGGGTCATAGAAAACAAAACCCAACTGGCCAAATTCATTAAAATGATTATCATCTATTTAATGTACGAATTCCTTTAATTGTGGTATTCATTGAGGACGGAAAACACGATGCCTCGGCCTCACAAAGTGAAGACTGAAGACTACGGGTGGTGCACCGAGCAATGATGGGCCAGGCGAAAATTAGTTTCCGACCGACATAAGTGGTTGTACGGTTCGATAACCTTGGAATCTCGAGAGACGGCTGACACACCCGTTTCTGACCATGGGTCAACATCAATGTCGCCGATGTTGGCTCATTATCGCCAAGACAGAAAAGAAATCTAGTTAAGAAAATGTTGAAGTAAAGGACAAGAATCTTGGCTAATTACAGAAAGAGATTCACTTTTATCTATCTAGCTACACTGATTACTGTTTACTTGAATGAGCAAGGGTAAGTGACCGCACAAGAAAGTTTACAGTTTCTAACACACTTCCTCTTTTCTTATCGCGTATAATTGCTACTTCAAAAGTCAAAAGTACTTCTTATTTATCATGCTTAACAAATAGACTCGTTCATTAAGGATCCTTATTTGAGATCAAAATATTGATTCCTGTAAATTCGCCGTCTCGCGATCGTATGTTTCGTTTTATAAGATTTGGGACACACGAGCAGATTTCCGGAATCACTTTGTATAGACCTCCTAATCGGTTAAACCTCCAACCTGCATGGCTGAATTTTGTTCCAGAATAGTTTGCGCGCAATTTTTGATATTTCGAAGGGGAGAGACTCTCAAATTCCCCGTTGCCGAAAATTCTCCCGATACCCCGACCAGCTTTGACCCGGGTCTCCGAAAGACAACGGGCCGGGCGGGGCAAGGAAAAGACTCGCGCACCCGCACTTCGCGTGGCGAGCCACCGCGCCCCGGTTGTCGCGATCCGCCTCCGTACTGTCTGCGACGATGTCATCCCCCGACTGGTCCACTGGCGCGTCGACACGTCTCGGACGCTCCCCAACACCCGCCGGTACCGGATCGGGTCGCGAAAAACTTCAAAGGCCCCCCCACCACCCCAGGGTCAAGCCCGTAAATTCGGTCGGGCCCCCCACTCCCGACAAATACATATATAAAAGAGGAGGAGGAAAGACCCCGACAAGCCCCGGCCACGTCATCGATCCGCGAGACTCGCCTGGGAGCCGCCGAGCCCCCGTCCGATGCGAGCTTCATCCCTCCAACCCCAGCCGTCCGATCTCCCTTTCTCCCCACTTACGCTTTTGCTTCGATCTGTGTCCCTCTCGAAAACCATCCCCCCCCAACCCAGCCCTCCCCTTCGCCCTTTTTAAATTCTCCCCTCTTCATCATCTTCGCTCTCCATCCAATTCCACTGTACTCCCCCTCTCCCTCCCTCTCTCTCTCTCTCTCTCTAAAAATGGCGACCGAAGATACCGGCAGCAACCCCCCGCCGCCGGCCGCCGCCGCCGCCGCCGCCCCTAATTCCGCGCTCCCGCAGTATCCCGAAGTACCGGCAGCTTCTTCTCTTTGCTTTCCTGTCCTTTCGCGCGCTCTCTCTCTCTTTCCGTTTTCCTCGGGGGAAGCTCCCGTTGATCGAAAGGTTTTTTTTTTTTTTTTTTTTCTTTGGCTTTATTTTCTTGGTGGTTGGTGTGCAGATGATCGTGGCGGCGATCGAGGCGCTCGACGACCCCAGCGGCTCCAACAAGTCGGCCATCGCCAAGCAAATCGAGTCCACCTACGGGGATCTGCCCCCCGCCCACTCCACCCTGCTGGCGCACCACCTCAACAAGATGAAGCTCAGCGGGGAGCTCGTGATGGTGAAGAACAACTACCTGAAGCGCGACCCCAACGCGCCCCCGAAGCGCGGTCGCGGCCGCCCCCGAAGCCCAAGGAGCCCCTCCCGCCGGGCGCCGTCGCCTCCCCGCCGAGGCCCCGCGGCCGGCCCCCGAAGCCCAAGGACCCCAACGCGGCGCCGCCGCCTCCCCCGCCCCCGCCGAAGCGGAAGGCCTCCGCGGCGGCGGCGGCCGTCGCGAGCGGGAAGAAGAGGGGCCGTCCCCCGAAGAAGGAGAAGCCGGCTGCGGCATCAGCTCCGGCTCCTGCTCCCGGGGGGGTCAAGAGGGGGAGGGGGAGGCCGCCGAAGGTGAAGCCGGCTGTCGCGCCTGTCGGGGCGTGAGCCGAGCCGAGCCGAGCCGGAGGGGGGGGGGGGGGACGGGAAAGCATGACAAGATTAGGTTTTTTTTTTTTCTTTTTTTCACTTTGTTACTTTTGTTAGTAGGTGCATCACTTTAGCTAGACCTGTGAGCTGAGCTGTGCTGATAACTTTTCTTTTTTCTTTTTCAACTTTTTTCTTCTTAATCAATTTAGCTTTAGGCCTTATCTTTTTTCCTCTTTATCTTTCTCTAATTTGAATTAATTTAATGTGGGTGAGTGTTGGTAGATGAGCGTGTGATCTTTAGAGATGGAGGGGAAGTTTATCTCTGTGAATTGTAATTGGAATGTACATTGTATCACCCCGGCAATGAAGGCTTTTTTGGGGGCCTTTTTCCTTATCTAATTCCCCCTCTCTCCTTTCTTTTCTCCGTTTTCATGATGTGGGCAAAGAAAGTATGTGTGGATGACGCTCTCTCCCTTCTTGGGGTCCTTTCTTTTGCTCGTCGCTTTTTGCCCTTTTTCTTTTGACGAGGAGCGGTCTGGAATTTGGCTACAGGGAGGAGGCTATGCTGGAGCAAAAAATCTCGGATCTTTCTCGTTGTTCAGGCAATAAAGGGATGAAATTGGGCTGTGAGGCGAAGAATTTGGCTCCTGTAATTGTTTGTGTTAGGTAGCGCAGCAAATGGTGTAGGTCGAGCGTGCTTCTTCTTCCCTGTAGAAATGGAGAGTACCCATTATAGGTTTCGTTCTGAAATGAACCGATGGTGTGCCAATATTGCCTTTTGGAAAGCAATGCCTCGCGGTCGACTTGAAAGTTTGAGAAGAAGATGGTGTGTAGGAGAATCTGTGGAATTGGCATGAGATGGTTTTAGAACTATGAGGGGATAGTTACATAAATGATCTTTGGATTAACGTGTAACATTATCTATAAATTTTTAATTTGTTTAGCATGGTTCTCGAATTTTTGGTAAATGTTTTTCTAAATTTTTGGTAATTGTTAAATTTATTCTTTAAATCATATGAAAATAACTAATATTATTCTTTCATTAATTCGAGTCCAGTGACAACATTGAATGTTTTTATATAATCTAGAAATTAAATTGAACATATACCAAAAGTTTAATGGTCATATTGAATAAATTAAAAGTTGAGGGACGACATTGCGCATTATACCAAAGTTCAGAGATCATATTGAACAGATTAAAAATTTATAAATGACATTGTACGTGGGACCAAAATTCATGGATCATGGGCCAAAAATTTGTATCATTTTTCCAACTATGAAATCTTTGTGGTGATACATTAGTAGGTTGGGGTGTGTCTGGGTGGGGTCTATTTTCTTGCAATACAAGTTTGATTGGCATATACATAATTCGACCCAATTTTAACCTGAGTCTACGTAATTGAGTCGAGTGGAGTTAGCATAGTTCAACATTCGAGGTTGACTCGACTCTATTAGATCCAATAGTTCAGGACACGATGCTTGATTCGACCTTGAAATGAATAAGTTTTTTATGAGTTCAAGCTCTAACTTTTGATTTGACCAATCAATAAATTCTAGTCAATATGCGTATTGAACTCCAACTCAGGTGCATGTTGTCTTATACTTGATTAAATCTCTATCTTGAAGAAGTATCTTGGAAGTGTCTTGATTAAACCTATGTTCCTATGTCTTTTCTTTCGAATAGAAATTTGTAGTTTTAGCTTTGCTCACATCTAATATGATCTATAGCAAAAATCACCTAAACATTCCATGATGACATCCATATGATCTCTTGAAGCCTTTGCCATTAATAGTAGTTCATCCGCAAACGTTAGATGAGAAATTTGTAGTCCACTCCTTCGAAAACAAATATATTTCCACCATTTTAAATTTACTGCATCGTTAATAAGGTGAAATAACCTTTCCATGCATAACACAGAGATGTATGGTGAAAGAGGATCTTCTTGATGTATTCCCCTCCTTGGAAAGCATTTCTCCGTTGTCTCTCCATTCCCTAAAACTTGCAAGGATGATGATATGATGCAATTTATAATTAAACGAACCATAGAACTCGGGACACGGGACATGTGAAGAGTCTCATCAATAAAGGACCACTTAATTCGATCATACGCCTTCTCAAGGTCAATTTTGAGGATCATATACCCTCATTTCCCTTGAAGTTTGCTCATCGAGTGAATTGCCTCTAGTGCAATAATAACATTGTCTTGAATATGTCTATCAGGAACAAAATTGGTTTGATTAGATGAGACGAGTTGCTGAAGCACTTCCTTTAGTCTGTTCACGATCACTTTAGTGAAAATTTTATAAGCGACATTACGTAAACTAATTAATTTGAAGTTGTAAATTGATTCTGGTCGTTTCACTCTTGGGATAAGTACTAATAGAGTTTTGTTAATCTGAGCCCAATTGCCATTTCCAGACCATGCCTCAATAATAAGAACAACTAAATTACCCACAGATTCCACTGATGTTGA